GAGAGAGAGAGAGAGAGAGAGAGAGAGAATGAAAAACCTTTGATAAATAGCTATAGTGTGTATTCCTATGAGTATTGTTAGTTAGGGTAGTGAGAGATTAAGTGAAAAACATAAATATTTGTCAACACAAAAAACTGGATGTCATTTATTACTTCCTAACAACACATACATAATATAATTCAGTTATATTTATCAGCATTTGTTAATCGCCTTCAAAATAAAACACTAATAAATAACTAAATAAAACACAAACAACTAAACAATAGTTTGTTTGCGACACAAATAGTGCTTTTAAAAAATATTTTTTGAATTGTAAATATAAAAAGTTTAACTACTTTTGTTGATAATAAAAATTTTTCACTTTCACAAAAACATTAAACACTGATCAATAAAATTAATTCATTTAATATTTCGTCAAATATTTAAATAAATGAAAACTTTTTAAACAGTAAAAACCATCACATTTTAAATCAAGACATACAATGATATTAAACATCAATTGATTGTCATTTAAATAGAAAGACGACAAAAATTCAATCAATAAAACCCATTATTTTCGACGATAACATTGTTTTTGAGTTGATTTGAAACATCAGTAAATAATTGATAATTACATGCAATAGATATTACTATTGACATTAATTTTGGCTTTCTATCAAATAAATATTATGTTCATTAAATTTCATATATTCATCCAATTCTCAATACAATTACATATTATATGCGAAATCATGTTTATATCGATTAAAGTCATCAAAAATAAAATTTATTTCAGTCGTTATTGAATACAGAATTTTAAACATAAAGCAAATTAATGACAATTCAAATGCTTTTTAAACATTAAATAAAAACTTTTAAATCATGTAAATATAAATTTTTACTCTAATCAAAATGTATTGACCTAGTAGAATAATGGTCTGTCTCATTAGACCAAATGAATAATTGTGATTCTGTAATTCTATTGTATAATTGCATAGCATGTTAAATAATATCTTTGTTATAAATCTAGCTATTATCTAAATAATTCAAAATAAAGTACTTTTAATGCATATATTAATTGAGAAATAATAAGTGTTTGTAAATGTATTGCACAAAACTTATAACACATTCCCAATAGAAACCATCGATTGATAATATCAATAATTATATTATAAAGTAAATTTAATATATACGAACATGTATGTATTAAATGTATATAATATAATGTAATATTCAGAAACAATAAAATAAAAAATCTTTCCAAACATCACATATGATCTCAAATGTTGGGTAAAAGAAACCAAAAAGTAAAATGAATGCCAAAACCAAACGCAATGAGTTTGCGATCGTAATGAATGGAAAACCAATTAAACAATACAACCAAAAGTTTTACTCTGCGGTCAAACCAACACTATTTCTGCTCAGATTTCTGGGCGGACCGACCGGTCTCTGGAAGGTTGACCACTGCTTCTGGAGGACAGTCGTGTCCAATATCACAGCCCTATTGATGCTTCTGGTGCTGAATGTGTGTGCGGTATACCAATGTGTGCGTTCCGTCCGGACAGTTATAATTCCCGGGCCTTCATTTAACCAAAATGTCATCTTTATCTTCGCGTTGGCCATCAATTTAACGGGTGTTATGGCTCTCGACATACTGTGGGTCCGAAAGAAAGAGTTAATAAGTTTATTGAATTTAATAGATTTGGAGCCAAAAGTAAACGACAACTTCGATGACGACAACACACGAAAGAATCGGCGAAAGATTAGATCAAAGACAACAAAATTACTTATATTTTTGGTGTTATTCATGGCATTAATAGTTTCCCCGTTTGACTCAAATAATAAGAATTACAATAAGGATGAAATACAAGTTTTGGTTGTGAACCACATCACAATCTTATTTGATATTATGGCCGTATTTTCTACCGTAGGGTTTGGCGCTGTTTTATCGTTATATTTGGTCCTTTCGTGGGTTCTTCGGCTAAAAGTGTGTCGAATCGTCGCTCACGTCAAGAATAATCTCTTACCGGAGGCCCAGAAGGGCCGAAACCCGAGACTAAATGAACCAAAATTAATACAGACGTGGTTTACATCGTATGCCGTTATATTCAAGAAGTATAATATGATATTTAAACAAATAGCGGGACTTACATTCGTGGTTTTGCTTTGGTCTGTGCTTTCAATGTCCTATCAAATTATCGCTTTCTTTGTCGAAAATATCAAATTTTTGGACAACATTTATATGTGGTTTCACGAAGTGATGTGTGCCATAGCGTTGATATACTTCCTGTTTGTGGTGTCCAGTGTTGAGTACAAGATCGACAAACTTATGAAACAACTCTTTCATTTGGCACTTGTCGTCAAATTCAACTATTTTGAAACTAAATATCAGACGACAAACAAATTGGCACAAAATGTATATAAATTTAATATTAAGCGTAAAAATTGTAAATATAATTTTGTCTAATTTACATTTACATTTATCTAGTTTAAACTATTGGCCGATACCATATACCAAAGTCACCTAAGTCTGTCCGTCTTTGGGTTGTTTCACATAACTCGTGGTCTAATTGTAACCACATTTGGTTTTGCCGTAACGTATACTGTATTGATGTACGAATTGACCAAAGATGACAACGATGTGATCAATTTATGCAATGATACCACTCTTACAAAACAACTCTATTAATACCCTATTTGTTATTAATAGTAATTGTAATTAATAAAAATATTATTTAATATCAGTGGATGAATTAAATAGACTTAATAATAAATATAGTAATATAAACTCTAATTTTTTAATATCTATTTAATATCTAATATTAAAAAAATATTATAAAGTTAATATTATTTAACTTATATTCTTTTTATCTAAATTTCCCAAATTTTAATATAATTTATGTGTTTTGTGCAAAAGTATTATTTTAAGTATTTATGTAATATTAAGTGTTTATACATATTTAAAACATATTTCGTTATAAATATAAATAGCCGTGTTAAAACTATTAATATTTGTTTAGCAAATGCACTATTAAATAATAATACATTTGAGCTAATCTAGCCTTAATTGATGCAAAATTAATGTACTGTATATAAAGTACTTTATAATGTAAGAATTGATCAAATAGGTGATTGTAAATCCACTCATAAAATATTATAATTTACTGAAATTTAAACGCAAATAGAAACCAACGATTAATATATGAAATAACATAAACCACAAAAAGACATAATTTTCTAAATCAAACAAAAATAATATTTTCAAACATTACGCAAAGATCTCAAGACTAATTGTAAAATGAATGCCAAAACCAAACGCAATGAGTTTGCGATCGTAATGAATGAAAAACCAATCAAACAATACGACCAAAAGTTTTACTCTGCGGTCAGACCGACACTATTTCTGCTCCGATTTCTGGGCGGACCGACCGGTCTCTGGAAGGTTGACCACGGCTTCTGGCGGACAATCGTGTCCACTATCACCGCCCTATTGATGCTTCTGGTGCTGAATGTGTGTATGTTATACCAGTGCGTGCGTACCGTCCGGACAGTTATGATTCCCGGGCGTTCATTCAACCAAAATGTCGTTTACTTCTTTGATATGGCCATCAATTTCACGGGTGTTATGGCTCTCGACATACTGTGGGTCCGAAGGAAAGAGTTAATAAGTTTATTGAATTTAATAGATTTGGAGCCAAAAGTGAACGACAACTTCGATGACGACAACACACGAAAGAATCGGCGAAAGATTAGGTCAAAGACCACTAAATTGCTTATATTCTTGTTATTCTTCACGGCATTAATGGTCGCACCGCTGAACATAAATACTAATGATTACGATTACTATGAACTTCAAGTCTTGGTTGATAATCACATAACAGTTTTAATTAACATAGCGAGCTGTTTGTCTACCTTAGCTTTTGGCGCTGTTTTGTCCTTATATTTGGTCCTTTCGTGGGTTCTTCGGCTAAAAGTGTGTCGAATTGTCGCTCACCTCAAGAATAATCTCTTACCGGAGGCACAGAAGGGCCGAAACCCGAGACTAAATGAGCCAAAACTAATACAGACGTGGTTTACATCGTATGCCGTTATATTCAAGAAATACAATATGATATTTAAACAAATAGCGGGACTTATATTCGTGGTTTTGCTTTGGTCTGTGCTTTCAATGTCCAATCAGATCATCACTTTCTTTGTCGAGCAAATAAAGTTCTTGGATAACATTTATATGTGGATTCACGAAGTGATGTGTGCCATAGCGTTGATACTCTTCCTATTCGTGGTGTCCAGTGTTGAGTACAAGATCGACAAACTTATGAAACAACTCTTTCATTTGGCACTTGTCGTCAAATTCAACTATTTTGAAACTAAATATCAGACGACAAACAAATTGGCACAAAATGTATATAAATTTAATATTCAGAGTAAAAATTGTGGATATAATTTTTTTTTCTAATTTATCTAGTTTAAACTATTGGCCGATACTATATACCAAAGTCACTTAAGTTTGTCCATCTTTGGATTGTTTCACATAACTCGTGGTCTAATTGTAACCACATTTGGTTTTGCCGTTACGTATACTGTATTGATGTACGAATTGACCAAAGATGACAACATTGAGTCCAATCCATGCAATGATACCACTCTTTCAACACAACTTTATAGCACTCCCATAATTGTCATTATTAATAGTGAATTGTAATTAATTTAAGTATTAAACTATTTACAGTACAATGAAATTGAAAATCTATACCATTTTCTGTTATTGAATATTTTTGGTTAGAATTAACAAAATAAAACGTTTATTTTAAAAATGAATATACAGTATCAAAATAAAATTTCAATAATTTACATGTACTTTACAATAGAAATGAATAAATTATTTAAAAAGTTAATTTTTATTTTTATTTTAAAGTTATTTTATCAAAATCTACAATGTAGATTCTACATATAGATAATGCCTAATGCTTTCAATATTTAACAAAAGTCAATTAAAGGGCACTTGATAGATTAAAATAATCTGAACACTAATGGATTTAACTTTTAAAGGCATACAAATATTAATCTACTATTAAATTGCTTTTAATTCATAATTGAATTGACATTGATCTTGAAATCAAGTGAAAAATACACAAAATAAAACAATAAATGAAAATCAAATATATTTGCATACAATTAGCAAATTAAATATTTCATAAAACACTTGATAATCATTTGATACGATTAACTGAAATAACTGAAAATAATTGAATTTATAAAATTATTCATTTATTCATTTAGCAGTGGATATGGAAGTGAACAGTATTTGTTCGTTTAGTTCCCGCAAAAAGGGCTCACAAACAAACCACAACTTTTACTCTATACTAAAGCCCACAATATTTGCCCTGCGATTCACTGGCGGACCCACAGGCCTGTGGAGACTTTGCAACGGCTCCAAAAGACCCGTCTTTGTCCAACGAATCAGTCAATTGCTGGCATTTCTGGTGCTGTTGGCCATCAATGGCGGTGCTATTGATGATTGTATTATGACATATCAAACGCTCGTAGATCCTGCCCGTAGTTTTGAGGACAACGTTAGTCTCTTTTACACTCTGGGGCTTAACATAACGGGCGCTCTGGCGTTGGATATCCTATGGTTTCGGCGGAAGCTTTTAAAACAACTCTTGGAAACCATTGATTTAGAGTACGGCATATGTGTTGTGTTTGACAAAGAGGTGTTGCGTTCAAACGCCCGCATCATTCGCATCAAAACAATCAACATGGCTATTTTTATGTGCGGCTACTCTGGCTATACAATCTACTCGTTGGTCACTTCAGGTGATCGTAATGTTGTTATGGATCAAGAATGTAAAGATCACGATAACGTCCATCATTTGATTTTGTTTGCCATCCGATGCCTATCGGTGTTTGTCTTCTCGATAATCATATCGTTTTATATATCGCTTTCGTGGGTCTTTCGGCTCAAAGTCCGGCGAATCAATCGTTTGCTGAAGAAGAAGGTAATCAACATGACTGACAACGGGCTAAACCCAATCGCCGCCGAAGACAAGGCCAAAGTGATTGAGCTCTGGTTCAGTACTTACGTGAAACAGTTCAAGATGTTTGACACGATATTCAAACAAATCGCCGGATTTATTATGATTCTTATGGTTTATTCCATACTATCGTTGGCCGAGTACTGCATATCAGCTCTTTTGGACGTCGGTAACAGCAAATACAAAGCCGAGGCTATGATACAAGAGGTGGTCTCCATAGCACTCATGGCTTACTTCTTGTATTCCGTGTCTATCGTTGAATACTATCTGCAAAAAGTGGTTCGACTTCTCTATAGAGTGGCTCTTAAAGTGAGATTCAGTGCCGATGACAGCGAAACCATCACTCTTTCCAAAAAGGTATTTATTTTTCGTTTTTTAAATTTAATTGTTATTTAATTTATCTGTTTTTTGTATGTATTTTAGTTTAAACTTCTCGGAGAGACAATACACAGGACTGGACTTAATTTGACACTATTTGGTATAATTAACATCAATAGACATCTGATTATATCGACGGCCAGTCTATTGATTACATATACTATATTGATGTACGAATTCACGAGTGGTAATCATAGTTTATTTATTCACTAAATTAATCTTTGTGATTTTTTAAATTTATTAAATGTTGTCGACCCTAAGAGTTTTCAGTTAAATTTAATTAACATATTTTAATTACAATATAATGTATTGTATGTTTGGCAATAAATACTTGTAAAAAATTATTAATTATTAATACTTTTATGAATGGATTTAAATAAAAAATAAACAAAAAATAAATAAATAAAATTATTTTCAGTAAATATAGATCGGGTTTTCATTTATAGCCACATACAGTATCTAATAAAAATAACATCTTATTTAATATACATTTAATGTACATTAAACATGAAATTGCGTGAAAAAGTGTTATTTTTCATATTCTTATGTCTATCTCTTTAGCCATAAACAAGAGAAACAATTTGTTAATGCATTTAAATAATTATGGTTGTAATTCCCGGCCTCTAAACCTCTATTTTCTGATTATATTTTGGGTTTATTTCGCTTTAATATTGAAGTTATTTTACTATAAAAAAAATATGATCAAAATTTATAGAAATTATTGTAATTATGTAATATTTTTATAATTATTTTAAGCGTTCATTTTTATTATTATTCTTACTCCCAATAAATCAATTATAAATTCATAGATACCTCTGACAGAAGTAGTTCCCATCCGGTGATAGTGAATATTGATTCTGAAAGTGGTTTTAAGGTTTTAAACATTGTGTTATGATCACGATAAAAATACTATTAATACATAAATAAACGTGTTATTATGTCTCATAATTACATTTGAAATCAATGTTACTCTGTTTAAATTATGAGCTAGATAACTTAAGACAATAAAAAATGCCAATAAATAATTTTACTTTATAAGAAATAGCAAATCATAGTGTATTTTACAGTAGCCTTAAAATCTTTACAATAATTGTATTGTTCATTGGAAAATAATAAATTCAATGTCTATAAAAGTCATAAAGGTTGTTTACATCAAACTGTATGACTTGTGAATTATATATTTTTAAAACTCATTCAAAATAACACTTATTTTTTATTGAGATAATTAAGAGCAATACATTTGATGCACAAAATCCCTAACAATACAAATACGTTTAAATATATATTTTATTTCTTAAGTTTATTTATTTTTAAACTAGATTTTTGGGAAAATAATATAAACAGTGATATTAAGGTAAAAATGATGTATTTTTTTAAAATAAATGCATTTTATTGTATTGTTTGACACATAAAAAATTCAATACAATTGAATTGCATTTTCACAATAAAAATAAAATAATAATTGATTGAATGAATGGAAATAATAAAATCAAATAAAATTATTGTGCTTTTCCTTTGGCTGCATATGAGGAGCGATAAAATGACCAAAACATGTAGAAAAACAGTGGCGGCTGTTATGACAAATAAAATTACAACATGTTAAATGATTAAATAGAATATATATTTTGTTAATTTAAAAATAATGTTTTAGCTGTGCTAAATTAGCACATTAGTTCCCCCGATCAGTTTGTATACATTAACTATATACACATTGAAAATTAAACCCATAATCTTTATGTTAATATGTTTAATGTAAATTAAAAATCAATAAATTCAATTCAATTAATGTTGGTATTAATTGGCTTAAATGGTGTGGGGAAAGTGCCCTAGGAAGTATATAAATGTTGCGGTTGTCACAATATGGTCAAGTGATCATATGATATGTGTGTTAATGATACTGACCTGACAGAGACCCAGAAAGTCAAATATCTTAGGATATCCTCTTTGGTAGACGAAGAAGAATATACTATAGATGGAGAATATGACGAACTGAATGAGTTGTATTTGAGTGATGTATCGCTTCCACCACAAGTACTTCTGCACCGATGGACCCAATGATGACAATAAGTAATACGTGTACATCACTGCAGAGGATTGACAACAATTTATTTAAATTAATTACATTTACAAATAATTTATTGTGTTTATAAACAATTATTGTGCTTGTAATAAATAATTATTTTATCATTTTCAGAAACATTTAACACAATTATAATCATTAATCATTAATTATGATAATAATTGACATAACATTTGTTAAAACAAGACATTAAATATGATAATTGAGTATAAAATTCATTTCGTGTATAATTTTCCCAAATTTTTACTCCATTCAAACAATAATAACCATAAGTGGTCTTAAATTAATTACTTGTTTAATCATAATTAATGTAAATTAATATCATAATTGTTTTACTTAAACTAAAAAACAAAATTATATTAGCCAACTGTAAAGTACCCACGTGCAATTTATCATAGTATGATGAAAAGTGGTAAAAATTGTTTAGGGTCGTTTCCGTTTACAAGAGAGTCAGTGTTTCATTAATGGCTTTAAATGAGAGTTATATCCAAATACTGTATAGAAATTAGTTTCTTAAGTGTTAATGTAATTAAATCGATAAGTTTTTCCTCAATTAATAGTCTCTTAACCCGTAATATATTTTCAACATTTGTTTACTATTTTTTAAAATTTAATTTTAAGATATCTTAAGTTAATTTCCTATTTATCTATATTTCAAACAAATATTTAACAGACGATTAAGAAATGATTATAAGAGACTATTGTTTATAAAAATTATCAACAAATTGATGATAGGTTTGTAAATATAAGTACATAACTTATAAATATTAACAGTAAACAATTATATAATAGAATAGATTTTTATCATAATAAGTTATTAAACTTAACCAACAATGCATTTAATAATTAAATTATAAAAATATTCAATTAAAATTTGAAATTATTGTCAAACACTATATTCTACAAAAAAAAGGACAATAAATATGAGTATAAAATGTGCAGATTGTGTGAAAATTTTCATTTTTGATAAATTAATATCTAAACTAATAAATATAAAACATATATTTTCCCTTTAATTATATTTTTCGGTTAAAATACTCGGTATTTTGTACAGTAAGTGAATACAAAAGTAAAAGTAATAGTTTTCTTACAATTCAAAGCACATGTTAAAAACCTATTATGAAATTTAAACAATATTTTGCAATAAAAAACAAAAATTAATAAATCCATGAAAACATTAAAAGGTTATATGAAAATGAAATAATATAA